TAATATACATTATTAAATTAGGAGTATATTGTTACATTTTCCTCATCCTCACTTAAATTTGGCAGAATTTGAGATTGGAAGCTCTTTGTGTCAGATTTGGAAAATGAGTTTGGAAAAGTATCTTCAGTTTGACAAGGAAAGCAGAAACAGCCAATCTGCCTATTTTCAATACTTAAATAAAAACAAACAACTTATTTCAACTTATTTCCGACTAGCATGCTGGTGTTTTTCCTTTTATTTCATTCCTGTGCACTTGAGCCTTCTTTGTGAATCTCTGAGGACTGCAATTGGAGATTTAAAGGCCTATAATATTGACACTTAGCTTCCAGGTCTTTCCCCTCGGCCATGACCTCCCTATTAGGAAGGTGAGTTCAAGTTTAAAGTCTTTCTAATTGCCTTGAGTGCTTTCAGGTTTATGTGTCTCTGAAATTTTATAATGACAAGTTGTTTCTCTCCTCCGGAGTCTACAGTGCAAGCCCCCAAGGCTCCATCATGTTGAACAACAGAAACAAGAAAATTTCCTTAACCCAAATCCTTCCCCCTTTCCTAATGACATTGTAAAGGTGTTTGGAACTCCTGACATCTGCTCTCAGCTGTTGACTCAAACAGCAACCTGAACTACTTGCTTTTAGCTTCACTGTATCCTCAGTGTCCCCTCCAGAGAACACTAGCTTCTACTGGGGCTCATGGTTCTTCAACTGGCATCCAAAATATCTTGAAGTCTTGGTAGATGTGAAGCAACACTCAGTGTAGCAGTTTGATGCTAGGAATACAAAGTAAGCAAAGAATCTCTGATCACCTAAAACTTAGAATCTGGAAGATAATAAAAATATTAATTAAATAAGGGCGCCCATAAATGTAAAATTAGAAACGGGGGTAGGTGTTCTAAGGGAAAAAGACACGGTGCCCAAAGTCACCTGAAAAGGGAAATACTCTCCTGAGGAAGTCATGTTGAGCTGATATTTGAAAGCTAAGGAGTCAACAAGTTAAAAATGAGTAGATCAAGAATGATCCAAGCACCTAGAGGAGCAAGTTCCAAGGCATTGGGGTAGGAAAGAAGGTCGCTAAAACTGAAACACAGAGAATGAGTGAGGGATCACGTGAAATGTGAAAGGCAGATGTATCAGCCAAGAAAACAGAAGCCACTCTATGTACTCAATGTCTTATGACACATAAGTAACCATTGGAAGAGCTGAGAATGACCATCAAAGAATGTCACCACTGAATGTCAGGGTAGTTGCTATCACAGATGATTGTAGCTAGAGAGACATGATGAGGAAAAGCTGATGTCATTCAAGATCCATGTCTCTGGCTATAGGGCCTTTCTAGTGAAGTGAACATTACTCTAACTTTTGCCCCCTAGGAGGATATCTTTCTCCACTATATTTTAGGGTCCCCTTGGAGTAGGGCTATAACGCTGGAGCTCTCTACTTTAAGATGGACACCATCTGTAAACTCGGGTCTAATTTTTCTTCCTTAATAATTGGTTATAGGGGACTCCACATAACGCCATCGGTGTGAGTATATGGAGAAGTGTCAATGCTGTAGGAGTAGTTTCTGTGGAAGTCTGAGCCTCTTGCTCATGCAATTTAACTGTGCCTAAGAACCTATTTGAGCCTGATATTGTACATAATACATTCACTTCATAATTGAATGCTGCTGCTCATATCCAACTTGATACTATGGTGAGCCAAATGACTCCATGATGAGTAGCTCAAGACTCATGATACCTTGATGTCCCTTACAAGCATTCCATTTCTACCAGGGTAAATAGTAAATGAATAATTTATTTTATAAGGGATCAGCATAAAGCTGGTTCCTATGAGGCGGAGGTTAAACATGTCCCAAATGTCTAACTTTTCCAAGCTGCTGTAACACTCCATCATCTATAACATCAACTACTCTCACTTCAGTACTTTCCCTCCTGTCTTGGAGTTGCCTAATTCACTGCAACGTCTCACAGGACTCACAAGCCATATAAAGGAAATGATTCACGTGGTTGCAGAGGCTGGCAAGTCCCAATTTGTTGGTCAGGCACAGACTTCTCCTTGGGCCTCAGTCTCTGTCCAGAGGCACTCGGCTTTCTCACTCAGTGGGCCAGGAAGCCCATTGTGCTGTCTCCTGCAGGTCTCTGCTGCAGGTCTCTCCTTCTTTGATGGTGGTGGGCTCTCCTCCCTGCTCTGGAATTGGCTCTCTTTTAAGGTAAAACTGACCAACCCCCTAGATAGGCCACAATTATCTTATTTGCACCCAATCACCTGGGTAGGAGTCTCAAGATCATGGCTAGAAAAGTCACACACAAAAGTAATTGCACTTCAAATATCAAACCCAGAGCTATTTCTCAAAAGGTAAAGAGTTATCTGGGGGGAGTTCCAGCAAAATGGTGCTCTAGGCAGAAGCACCACGCCGTCCCTCCACAGCAAAGATCCGAAAAACTAAGCCGAACAGAGAATACAACAATCCTGGAACCCTAAACATCAAATGAAGAGATAAAGAACTCAGCCAAGTACCAAATGGAGTGAGAAAACTGACAGAGAACAGAAAGCGAGGAGAGATTCATGCAGAGGCCCCCTACCAGCTAACACAGTGCGGATCCGCCATCTTGGACTCCTATCGGAGACCAGCAAACAGGGGGTACGAGAAAGCAGCCTCACGGAGCTACCAGCGGGAGATGAAGCAACCGGTAATTTGCGATATACGCTTTCCCACCTGCCACCCTTCTTCATCCCGACTCGGCCTCCTCTGCTTCCCGCGGCCACAGTTTCTTGA